AAATGGTTATATCCGTTTTGAAGCGCATCAGGTCTAAATCGTTCAATGTGCGCCGCGGCGACTATACAAAAAAAACAGGTAATTGTAATGTCTGTGTTTGGTTCACAAGTTGATGACGCCACGGAAAACATTCGCCGCGGCGACTATAGGCATAAGTCGGTAGCTGTCCGCAATAAAAATAATTGTTCTACAAGAAATAAGGCTTCCGAGTCTCTCTAGAAAATTAAATTAGGTAAAAACGCGGAGAACACCAAAGCAGGCTGGTTAGATTTTAGATGCGTTTATTGAACATGAAATTAAATCGGAAATGTAATGTAAAAAGTTGCTTAATAATTCTGCCTAAAAATTATAGTCCTGATGACACAATTTGATCCATGAATATGAAGAGCCTGAAGACAAAAAAAATAATAACTATTTACAAGTTGGAAGCGCAAGCGGGAAAAAAATTGACAACTTAATAATGCTGTATATTATGCCGAAGATAAAATAGACCTATGATAACATGGATTTGATTTTAAAATTGACTAAATAATATTCCCTTCAAATTCGTCTCAGATTTTAAAATTATTCAATTATCAGCAAACGGCAACAGCGTCGTATCCCTGTCCTTCTGATTTATCTTCATAACAACAAGACCTATGGAGACTTAAAAAACAGTTACAAGAAATTTTAATCACCTGGAAAAAAATTGCTAAAGATTGTCACAGTACGTGAATCGCCTTTTGTCTCAAGAGAATGATTATGTTATAAGCCATACCTTCACTCTTCACTCAACGGTCATGCGTTAACCACATTTATTTTGGGTCTTGATAATAATGCATATTTAATATTGGTTTTAGTAACCATACTATTAAAATGTTACTGTTAATAATTTTCCATTATTGGTATGAGAATAATAATTGACAATTATTGTCAATTATTGAGATAAAAACAATAAGCATTAATTTTTTAATGAATATTTGAATAATAAAGCAATTATTTATTACATTTTTAATGTAAATTGTTAATTGATCCATTAATTGTTTTAATGCAAATGAAAATGTATTTAATACTTAATGCATAATGGAGTTACATACCATTAAGGGCCAATTTCATAATTAATTTAAAAGTCCACTTTAAAATGACAAACTTGGTTTTCGATTGGTCAATTTTGTTTTTTTGATTGACATTTCCTGTCCCTTTTATGTCATGTTCTTGTCCCAAACCCGTCCTGGTCTTATATTGATACCGTCCCGTTTCAGACACCTTCAATAAAGGTCGTTTAAATATTATCAAAATCCGTTCAGCCGTTAAATCAGGACATGTAATTATACCATGTATAGGTTACTAAATTCTTGAATAAATTTTGAAAAAGTAGTGTTCAACTAGAAATGACCATTTCTATTCGGATGTTGGAATATTTCATTCTCATTAAAATGGTAAAGTTTTTAAATCGTTGAACAAATATATAACGTATTTTTTGGATTGACCCAATAAGCTTAGAGAAAGAGTTTCAAAAATCGTTTTTGTAGGTTATCTATGTAAATATAGGAATGCACTGTCAAAATTTCAGCCCTTTTCGTGGAAATAGCTATTACTATAATGTATCATCATTAATAATATAATTAAAATCAATTCCATTCTTTTAACAATGAATAAAAAAAATCTATTACCAAATATAAGAAAAATGCATTATATAATATATTAGATCTTAGATTTATTCCAAGATTCATTCATTAATATTTCAGTAGTTTTTAATGTAAATAATACACATTAATCATTATTAATTAATTAATTAAAAATTTCGCAACTCTGGTCCCAGTATTAGGCTCATAAGTGGCCAAAGAAAAAAAATTGGTAGAAAAGAACTATCAAAAAGACATTTTTGATGGGATAGCATGTCATAAGCTTTTCAAAGATTAAGAAATTTATGATATACATACGTGTCGGCGTTCAATGCAATGAATAAAGTTGTCGAAAGGGCATTTTTTACCAAAATTGGTAGAAAAGAACTATCAAGAAGACATTTTTATAGGAATGCATGTCAAGCTTCTCAAAGAAGCAGTTAAGCTCTAAGATTAAGAAATTTATGATATACATCGGCGTTCAATGCAATGAATAAAGTTATCGAAAGGGCATTTTTTACCAAAATGGCCTTTCTCGAAATTGGTGAGTGTATTGCGGCTTTTCGGAAGGCGTTTAAAGCTATGGGAGTATCCGAGAGCTTAAAAGTACACGTGTGTCTAGAATAAATGAAGCAATCGCTTCATTTTTTGAAAAATTAAAGGGTATTGCCACTAGGTTTCGGTTTGGGTCTTTGGTCGAAACAGTCAGAAGAATCAGTTCACCGCGAATGTTTAAGTATTGGGAACGATATAAAATAAATTATGAATTATATCCTAGTTATCTGGACCGGCTGGTTTAATTTTTATCTTGACATCCTTAAAATTAATTTATTTCTCTCATTTAGTTAATTACACTCTAAAGTTTTTTTGCAATTATAAATTGCTCAATTTTTTATTTAAAAGTTTTTCTAGGCGCAAGAATATTTTCCATTGAGGATTTGGTGCGATTTGGTTTTTACTCGATCTCATCTCTTTTAATGTGATTCTTAAAATTCGAAGCTTAATTTTGATGTTATTTTCCTGCAATATTTTATCGGTTTCCGTCCACTGTGCATGGTAATAATACTTTTATTTATTTTGAAAAAATGTTTAAACGATGTACAGTTGTGCTTCAACATTACTATGCTTCCGACCGTGCTACCTTAATTACTATACAAAACTTATTAGTATTTACCTAAAATTGCTAACTATTGTATATGGTTTGTTAATTCTTGTATATTTTATTTGTATTGTGTATTTATCCACGGGTTTAATACAAAATAAATAAAACAACATGCAATTATTTTTAGTTCACGGCGGAAAGATTAATCTATTTTAGTAGGGACTGGGAGTTCACCTAATTTTACTCTTTTGTTTAGAGTTATGGGCGAATTTTCGTTAAATGTACATTTTGTATATATATTTTGTCCAGGCAGGTCAATTTGATCGATTTTTTTTTAATGAGTTTTATGACACATTGCTTTTGACTTTTTCAAACGTTATTTTTCAGAAATACTGTTAAATGTAAATATCTTTCGGCATTTGTTTGGAATTTCTACTATGCTATAATACAAAATGAAAATAAAAAAGTTAACTTCTAAAACAAGAGTTTTATGTAGCGTTTTGTAAAAGACACCAAAAGTGTACGCAAAAAAATCTTACCTTTAAAATATTTATAAAAAAATTCACACACTTTACACGTGCTCACTTGTTGTTGCCGAACTATCAAACATGTATGCCCTCTAGAAATAACACGATAGTATCTCTATCTCGTGTCTCTATTTCGAAGCAGTCGGCATAGAAGACGACGTTAGGAAAAAGACAAGATTTTTGAATGTCAACTTTAATATTTTTTTCTGTTTAAACTACTTTGTAGAAAACTATTTTATTTTTATATACGAATAAAAGAACTTTCCATTGTTCAAAAATAATTTATTTTTTCAGAAGAAACCTGCAAAGAAGAAGAATATAATAATTTAAATTAAAAAATCGCCTCTGGGGACAGTTAGGTTACAGGACATTTCACCTAGTTTTTCTGCCATATATAGAAACATAAAGTAATTACAAAAAAAAATACGATGGGTCCTAACAGGAAGGGGGTATTTAAATATAATAAATACAAAACTTATCAACAAAGGTCAAAAATTAAAATAAAATTAGCTGGGGACAGCAAATGTACATTTAACGAAAATTTGCCCTTATATTAACATTTTTAATAATTAAAACTATAATAAATCAAGTTTTACCTAAAATTTTTGATATCTTCATAGGTCAAACTTAATGAGTTTTTCTTATTAAAATTTGACTAAAACTTCCTAAATGTTAAGGTATGTTAGTGATAAAAAGGGAAAAATTTAATGATTTTTAAAAGGGAAAGGGTTCAAAAAAAAAATTCATGAAACATACCTTTATATTTGAAAATATCTACAATTTAATAAAAATACAAGCAGACGCAACTAAAATACTTTTTGAATAAAATTGTCTTAACAAGCAACAAACTACAAAAAATATAAAGTAAAGGAATACAGCTAAATATATTAATTAAGTACTTTAATATAAGTACTTTTATTTATAGTAAAAATAGTATGTCAGACCAGGTTAGTGATAAAAATACTTACTAATTAAATTCAACCCTTTCAAAATTGAGAAATAAAAATAAAATAAAAGTTTTTTGACAGATCTATAGGATGGATAAACATTACTATCAGGTACTAGAAAATGCATGAAATATTTTTGAAAAAATCACAGATCACAGATTGTTTTATTGTCTTTTTGTCATAATTGGCCAATAAATGTTAAGAGATTATGCCAATTTTTTTATTAATATTAAAGCAATGGTGTAAAAGCAAAATATAAACACGCAAAACTGATTAGAAGTGCAAAAAAAATTATGAGAATGATTCATGAAAAATTCGTTGTATTTTGTAAGAATAAAATATTAATGGTTCACAAATGGTATATTAAAATATAATTTATTTATTCTTACATAATAACACTGTTAATGTAAAAATACTAAAAAATAGTTTTATAAAAATAGAGAGACAAAATGTTAGAGAAAGGGTTGATTGCTAACTAACCTAAACTAACATTTCCATAATAAACACATAAGATTAAATTAAAACCACTTAAATTTAAATAAATACATAAATATACTATTTGTACATTTTTTACTCATAAAAATGATAAAAACTGGAAATAGTTGGTAAAGTTAGTAAATTTTGCCATATTTGTGTAACTACAAAATATTATTATGTTTATTTTATTTTGTATGGCACAGAAAGGTAAGTAAGTATTAAAGGTATAGTAAGGGATAATTTAAGTGGTTTTATAACCATGTTAAATAAAAAATAAAAAAACAAATTCAAAATAATGACAGTGCCTAATCTGAGTCATTTTCATCAAAAATAAATGTCTTACCTTGGTAGAGGGAACTAGTTTCGTCATCAAGATCATCAGTACTAGCCATTCTCCCTAAAACAAGAAACATATATTCAATTAAAAATTATCCTTAAGAAATTATAGGAGAAATCTGGAAGATTTGACCGGGTGGGAAACTTTCTTCAAATTGGGTTTGTTTGACTGTGAGAGTATTAAATATTTTACATATTTTAACGAATTTAAAATAATACCTGTTTATATTTTCAAAAACAGGTAGGTGTGTATTAGCAAATATTTACACTAAAATATATCAAAAGTTAAACAATATTTGACAATAAATGTAAAATTGGGCTACAATCGTAGCCCAAGCGACTTTGATTCTAAATTAAAAAAGTTTATCCAATATAGAAAACTAAAGTAAATTCGATGTTTTAAAGTTTTAAATGGGTAGGTTTTTTTATTTGGACTCGGGTTTTTTTATTAGGTTGGTAGCTCCTGCCACTTGGATTTAGTATCTTTAGTATTTAAAAAATGGTACTTCTGCTGAAGACCTTAATAAAATACTTTGACAGCGATAATTGTCTACTAATCGATAATTCCATTGTATCTAAGTATCCATGGCAAATAATAAAAATAACGTCAGTTTTTATTTTAATGTGACAGTTATTTAAAATGTCATGTTTTGGTAAAGAATCATTTGAATCAATTAATGAAAATATGAAAAATAGTGTACCAAAATATACTGCAAACAACAAAAAATATTATTCTTTGATTTAATTAGTTTATTTGTGTAATTATACTCGTGCATAAAAATAATCAGATAATTTTGCATTCAAGCATATTGCCTTTTAAAAAATGCATTTGGTCATTTTCATATTTTGAGGAAAGAGGCCGACACTGAAGGTGTCCAAAATATGAAAATGAACGCATTTTTTAAGCAATATGCTTTCAAGCAAAATTATCGACAATTTTTAAGCATTTGTGTAATTATCCCCGATAATTTACTTGTTAATTATTATATAATATCGATATAAAAAGATAACTATGCCAAAAATAATATCAGATTCAAAGGAAAAGAACTTTTAAGGGCAAAACATCATTTCCATGAAGTTTTGCCAAATACCTCAATAGCAGAAAAAGTGCATCGCCTTATGGACATTGGAGTAAAAAAGTAACGTTTTTGGTTTTACAAATCACACATTATTTTCAGCTAAGCAGATCAAAATTTTTTGAAATTTTAAAAAATAGGAAATAAAGGAGGAAATAAAAAAACAAAAAATAGGGAGAAAGAATAAAGGTATTTCGTTCGACAATTTTTTTACGGGAGGAAATTTCGCGGCATATTTTTAAAATGTTTAAGGACGGGAAACATTTTACTTTGGGTGATCTTTTAGTTTATGCGTGTAACGAAATTGAATTTACAGGGTCCAGGTCACTATATAATATTATACAATATTATACAAAATTTTACGGGACGTGGGTTTTAAATATAAAAAAAATTGATGGGAGGAAAATATTATGCGATCGGAGTTATGAGGTGCGGGCAAAAATTACTTTTTTAAGAAAATATTTGGAACTTTCAAATTCAGGAAAGAATGTAAATTTAAGTGCATTATGTTAAATACTCGCTCCAAGAACATAAGCGTCTCAGCGTTAATTTGAGCGGAGAAAGGAAAAAACAGGCAAAGATAAAAAACATGTTTTTATTAATACACAATTGTAGGAGTTAATAAATAAAGGTAACTAACATTTTCGTTTTAAGCAAAAATGTGGTATGCTTAATGCTTAATATTGTGGTTACCATCATTTTGCTTAGCAATGTTAGTTAACACCTTTATCCATCAATTCCTTCAATTATTAGTAGAATAATAACATAAAGGTTGGAAGAAAGTTTAAATTTTTATTATCTACGCCAGTAAGATAAGAACTTCTTATTCCACTCATTTTGAGTGAGATAAGAAGTTCATTAACGCACGCGTTTTTCTCTGCTTTTAACCAATCAAATAAAAAAGTCAAAATGTCAAAATAACCCTAAATTAAGTCTTATACAAAAATAATTACCGTTTATTTTTTCATTTAGAGGCGTAGATAAAAATTTGTACAATATAAGTGTGATAACGCTTTATTAACGTACTTTTGCGATTGCCCAACTCGTGCTACGCACTCGTTGGGCAAATTTCGCATACGTACGTTAATAAAGCTCCTATCCCACTTATATCGTAAATAACTATTAACGCACAGGCAAAATTTTCAATAACAATTATTTCAGATAATAAAGTTCAGATAATTTAAATAATCTATAACAAAATTTTGCATGCTTAGGTACCTTTTTTGGAGTGTTTCACATATAATTTTGTGTATTTTATTATTTTTTAATAAATAAATGTTTTATTTTTGGGCATAAAAATATTTATTTATTTGGTTACGCTATAAATATCAGGTTACAATATACAAAAACCTATTTAAATACATTTATGAAGATAATATGGCTAACTAGTTTTGTTGCTTAATTTATTTCTTACCTTTAAGACCTATTGCTCTTCCGTTGACAGGTCGATTGTAGAGTGCGTTTTCTAAATAGCTGATGCCGTTGTTGTTAATAATGTTAAAGCCGCACAGCATCTCGATCTGTTTCCACCTGTGCACGCGTTCCTGCAGTTCCTGAGTTACTTCGTTAAGTGCCGTACGAGCTTCGACAATCGATCTGTCGACTTCGTCGATCGATTTGCCGTGCGTCGACACGAATGCGCCAACGAGACTCGAACGTTTCTTGCGAAGTTTTTCGCACTGAAAAAAAAATTCAAAATACAAAAATAAATTTGTACACGGTGTCTTAGTTCTTTGGAGGCTAAAAATTTGAGCTAGCTAATTAAAAGGTATAGGCCAGCAACCACTCACTAAATAAAACAGAATGGGCCATATCTAAAATTTTGCAAAAAATCAAGTAACTTTGCGAAGCAAAAATGCCCAACACTTGCAGGACGTAATTTTTACGTTGAAGTCAACAATAATTTCCATTAATATTAGTAATCTACGCATACAATTTTTTTTCTACGTTTCTAAAAGAATTTTTTTAATTACACTGCGGCGTTTTTAAAACTGCAGGATTTAAAATGCTTCGATAACCGTGAAGATGACGTGACGTCACGATGTTATAAAAGATGTATCAGAAATTACGGATGAATCCAACATCTGTTTTATTGAATAAACAATGATATATCGTAGTATTTTTTCTTTTTTCTGTGATATTATATTATAATGATATGTTCCTATTTAGAATTAAAAATGTATTAATAAAATAAAATAAATTTAGATTTAAAAAATGTATTAAGAATTAAAAAATATATATTAAATTGTATGATTAGAGGTGTCCCTCTATAAACTGTATGTTTCTTGGGATGAAAATAAAGTATTTTATTTATTTATTTATTTTATTCTAGATTATGTTCAATATTTTTTAAAGTACAGGCCGCGCGTTATAACTTGGTGAAGCTCGACTCATGCGAGCGTAGCCGTTGGCACTTGTTTTCTAAAATTGAACAAATAGCCTGTATTTAAATCGTTTAAAAATCGAGGAAGAATACATACTAGAGGTGCGAATTTTAATTTTTTTAAATAATTTTATGAACTTCATACCTACTTAAATACGCTGTTAATGGTTTTATAACAAGTAAGATTAAAACAGTCAATAAACTTGGTTATGTTCGGAAGAGGCAATGTATCGATTTTTATGGTATTTTTCAAGAAAAAATTGTAAAGGAAAAATCGTTTTTTTTAACCTAGTTGTTTTTACTAACTAAACTCTATAATATAGGTGGTTTCACACCATATAACCTATAAGTTATAGGTATATGTTTCACACTGATTTTTGACATCATGTCCCAACCCCATTGCTTACTGCTTATTTTAATATTTTTAAACTATAAAACATAAAATTAAACATGTCCTTATAGGTAATATAAAATTATAAAATATTTTTATGTAATATGGCGAATTAAACTAAAATAAGAAATTTGCTTAGATTATGAGCCTAATAGTTGTGGAGAGGGTTAGATGATCGCACTGATCAAGTGCAAAATTTTAAAAACAATGACTAAAAAGGTAAATAAGTAACTAAGTAACATTTTCCTTTTTATAATATAGCATTTAGCATAGCATTTCTTTATATAAATAAATAGTGTTAAAATACAATAAAAGGATCCCGGTCGATGGCTTTTTGTATATTTTGTATTATATGTTCTGTATTGTACTGAATATGCAATAAAAACTCTATTTATTTATTTATTTACAATAAAAATAAAATAAGATTTTAAAAACCTTATAACTTTAAAACTACTCATGGCACCCAAAACCTTTTTTGTAAAGAATAATAAACTACTCAGGGGGGCAAGTAAAAAAAACAAAAAAGTAAATTTCGAATTGTTTCAATTATTTTGTCATTTAAAATTTCAGTTGCTCAGAGGCAAAGCAGGCCAAATAGGTACTTTGGGAAAAAAAGATTCTCTACCAGCTTATTTATGAAAAACACTAGGTTTATTCCTCAAAAATTAAATATAAAAAATAATATTCGGCAAGCTAAACTAAAAGTAAACTTAGCTGAGCAAAATAACTAAAAACGAATAGGGATAAATATAAGTACAACTTACTCCCGATCAATTACCCGTACTGCCGTACTAAGCGCAGAAGCGGTAATTAACATATTGGCTGTCATGAGATATTGGTATTTTTATGTTAATAGCTCTGCCAACTCAGTTCGGTAACAGATACCGCTAAAAATAACTTGATATTTCAATCATTTACTGACAAAATACCGATTTAATACCTTATTAAAGTAGAGATTTTTAAGCCTAGTTTCATATTACGGGAAAATGTCAATTTCCTTTAAATGTGCAGTTACCGCTTCTGCGCTTAGTACGGCAGCGTAGGTAAGATCTGACCGAGATATAGTACTCGACTATTATCGGCTAAGATCTCGTTCTCGGCCATGGCCGAGACTTAGCTGAACTCGAAGCGCGAAGCAAGCGCGTTTAAAACGAGAACTCTGAGTAACCATTACCTTTTTGCTACGAACGATTGGTAAGAAATTTTAAATGTTAATCTCTTCCGAGTTTACAATGTGAACTTGACATGCATTCAATCTATTGAGCAGAGCAATATTTCTGAAAGGGATGGACCTGTCTGACAACTTGTCAATGACAAATTAAAGTTACTTACTATTAAACGATTTTTTAAATAATTGTGCATTTTTGTATATTTTCCCGATTTTCTTTATACTGTCCAAGAATTTATTTTTTTCCAAGTCTCGTCCGCTTCGATTGTAGGTATTTTTGTAAAGACAGGTTTACGATTACGGGTTGTAATCGTGAAAGCACGAGTAAATAATACAAGTACTTTTGCAAAACATTTACTAATATTTAAGTTATAAAAATAGGAAATAGAAGAATTAGGTATAATAATATAAATTAATTATCAGGTAGATATTTTGATTTTTTAAATATTATAATATTTGAAATTATTATATTATATACTTTAACATAGAGTGTTTCTATAAGTTCTGTAGTACAGACTCTGTACAACGTTTGATGACAGATTCCTAACGCCAAAATAGGTCGATTTAAATTAGTTATTGCTTCGTTTAGCCAAAAAAAAATGTTTTTCCCAAATTTATTGAAAACTGGAAATTGATTATAGTGATTTATTTCTAGTAGTATAGTGCTATAAATTAGCAGAAGTCATAAAAATATGGTTCAACCGGAAGTCATTTTCGCAACCTTAAGTTTTTTAAATAGGTATTTAATATTTAATAGTGATTTTTTTCTAGTAGTATAGTGCTATAAATAAGGAAAACTGATATAAATATGACGTCACATGTAAACCTTCTTTCTGATTTTTTCTGTCATCAAAGTTATAACAACCCAGGTATTTTTGTTAGGTAAATAAAAGTATTTAAGAGCTTTTTTTCTTCTAAAAATTTTGGTGAATAACCGGTTTTGCCCGAAAAAACATTTGCAATTTAAAAATTTTTAGTTTGTGCCCTGCTAAGTTAAAGGTTGACACAGTCCGATTTTTATACCTTGGTCGATTTTAAGTTGTTAGCTCAAGCGCTTTTAAAGGCGCTGATAAATGATATAATAAATATTATGTATATACAGAGTGATGCACCTAACCGATTAATTAGAGGTTTATTGATAACTAAAAAAACATTAATCTAACATTTTGGTTGCAGCTATAGCACTTTGTGTTCATTCTTGGTATACCTACACCTCGGTATACACGTTAAAAAATAAGTATTATACTAGGAGCACTAATAGGTATTCGAAAATGTGGTGTTTGGTGTTTAATTTTTTGCCACTTTAAATGCCAATATTCATCTTATTTCAAATCTTAGTAGTTTAAACCATTAAACCAAGGATTTTTAAAAGTGCTAATTCTTCTCTTGGTTAGTTTAATGATTTTTCGAAATTGACTTGATCCCTACCCTAGTAGCTAGTAGCGAAAAAAGTGTTTTACTTACCGCTTCTCTAGCCTGCTGTAGTTGTTTTTCGGCAGAAATCTTCTTTTTAATATAACCTTTGTTTTCCACTTCGTGTGTTAATTGCAACCACTGTTGCAAACCAAGTGGCGGAGCCCAACATTTATCTTTTAGTTCGCCTTCTGCTATTTGCAGCTCGGTTCTCAACATCTAAAAAATGTTTGAATTAAATTCGAACTAAAACTAATAATAAATAGTATTATGGGCACTTTTTCCAAAAGATTTTGTCTGTCAAAAAAAATCAAAGTAGGGTTTTTTGCTACTGTTGCTTGCTCAGGCCCATATGCATTTATTAGTTTCTCAAAGTCAGAGCTCAACACTTTCTTAAAATTATAAAAGGGTGAATATATCTCCCCATGCAACTTAATATATCATAAGCAATTGTTTGGTGAAAAAGAAGCAAAAACAAAAAATAAAAACAGAAAGTCAAAGAATTTGCAGCTAAAAAGTTTGCATAAAACTTTACAACTTTTAATGCATTAATGGGTATAGGTCCTTTTTACTTATTTAAATAAATAAATGTATATAAAAAAGAACAAAAATAAAACGACTTATCGACTTGTAGTTCGAATTACGCCATTTTTTTGTCCTATTGGTAAAAATATCTCAAATATATGTGACCTATTTACGTGGGGCCCGGGCCGCCCATTGCTCAGGTTAAATTTCAAGAAATCGTGCTCACGGCAATGGCACTTTAAAAAAAATACGATTTTAAGATAAACGAGTTTAAACTATTTATATATTAAATATGTATAACCTACATTTACTAAATCGCATTTGACCATTTTTAGAAGAACAAAACCCGCGGCTCGGCACGTTTAAAGGCCCACGTCAAAACTCAATATGTGCAAGACGTGTATATAAGACCGTGCCTGTAACATATAAGGCGTTTTCGGAAACCTACCCGGGTAAGTGAACCTGGTGTTGGTTTACTACCTCTATCGATTGATCGAGATAGCGTTTCTTTACATTTTTCCCGATAGAAATGTTGAAGAATTTGTTGAGCCTATTGTTTTATATACCTGATGTACTTACTTATTATTAAGTAAAGAAATAATTTATTTTTCCACATTAGGTATAACTATAGCAGTGAAAAATCACAGTTTCCTGATTGTTTAAGTTAACTTTTGTAATATTTTTCCGCCGTTCAGCCTTAAATTGAGCTCTGCCTATAACTGTAGTTACAGATAAATGAAGAAAAATAATCTTCCCTGCAACAAATCATGTGCAAGTGTGGAGTTTGTCTTTATTTTAATCAATATTGATTTTAAGGTATTAAAATATTTCCATCTAAATATTTAATCTATGCGATTTTATTTGAAAAAGAACTGTCATATTTTGTAACCTGTGCTTTTCGCTTACTAATGTGATCAAGTTAGTAACCTTTCAGTTCTGGTCACTTGACTTTCGGGTAACCCCAGAGTAAGTTTCCGAAAACGCCTCCTTATACCTATACCTAAACCTAACAGTAAAAATAATTGATTTTGATTTTGACAAAAATAATTTAAGCAACTTTGTATGTTGCGCAGCCAGACATTTTTAGGTTCATATTTGACATATATTATGTGTGTTCACTATTTTTTTATTTATATAGGTACATATATACAATGTATATTATTATATATATACAATGTATATCATTCATATATATATATATATATATATACATTAGGGTGCTTCAAAAAAATTTTTTTTTCGCTCTTACCCTCTCAAATGTTTTTATTTAATATAAAGAAAATCCTCACCAAATATGGGCGTTCCAGCTCAACTCTAAGAGGTCGCTGTTTTTATTTTAGTTTCCGATTGAATTAACATGGGAAAAAATTAATTTATGTTTATATATAGGTACATATATACAATGTATATTATTATATATATACAATGTATATTATTCATATATATATATATATATATATATATATATATATATACATTAGGGTGCTTCAAAAAAAATTTTTTTTCGCTCTTACCCTCTCAAATGTTTTTATTTAATATAAAGAAAATCCTCACCAAATATGGGCGTTCCAGCTCAACTCTAAGAGGTCGCTGTTTTTATTTTAGTTTCCGATTGAATTAACATGGGAAAAAATTAATTTATGTTTGAAATTTTATACCTCTGTATCAAAGTAACTTATAGCAATGATCATTGCAGTTTCTTATATAAAATTTAACGCTCTACAAAAAAGGTCTCTCATTATTTTTCGATAAATTGATTTCTTCTAGAGTTATTCGAGGTCAAAGTTTGATTAACATCAAATTTTCTGTGTTTTTTTTTTTAATTTTATGGTATAATTAGCAGGCGGGAGGTAAAAGGGGGCAAAACAAGGCAGCGGGGGGGGGGGCAAAATGAGGTACCCAAAAAATGAGCATATGAAAAGTTTTCCAAATTTGTACCATCCTTTTTCTCGCTCTACAGGCTCAGAATAATTATTTTTGACTAAAATAAAAGCGTGAACTTGTGAGTCAATTTTTTAGAAACCGAAAAAAACAATCTAAAAAAAAATATTTTTTTACAAAATTTTTTGGGTACCCCATTTTGTCCCCCGTTGCATTGTTTTGCCCCCTTTCACCTCCCGTCTGCTAATTGTACCATAAAATTAAAAAAAACAGTAAATTTGATGTTAATCAAACTTTGACCTCGAATAACTCAAGAAGAAATCAATTTATCGAAAAATAATAAGAGACCTTTTTTGTAGAGCGTTAAATTTTTTGTAAGAAACTGCAATGATCATTGCCATAAGTTACTTTGATACAGAGGTATAAAATTCCAAACATAAATTAATTTTTTCCCATGTTAATTCAATGGGAAACTAAAATAAAAACAGCGACCTCTTAGAGTTGAGCTGGAACGCCCATATTTGGTGAGGATTTTCTTTATATTAAATAAAAACATTTGAGAGGGTAAGAGCGAAAAATTTTTTTTGAAGCACCCTAATATACATATACATATAATATGTCATATATACATAAAAAAAAAGTTTACAGTCTCAGGTTAACAGAATTAAAGTGATTTTACATAAAAAATAATATAAATATGGCATATGATATTTTTTTGTAGTTTATTTGAAAATATTTAAAAAAATTTATTAGTGTTATTTTTGATCGCTGATATCTTTGAAACGGTTGACCTGAAGAACTTTGACCTTCAGATGTTTTTTGTAGAGCGTGAAATTGTCTATAACTCCTCTCGCTTGGGTGTTGCGAAAACAAACCATTCCAAAGTTATAAGAATTCAAAATTTAAAAAATAAAAATTCCCGTGTTATTGAAAAAAAACAAATGAGTTGAGGCAAACCTTAATATTAATATTAAGGTCTCAAATATGCGCCAAAATTTTTGTTTTTTAATGTATTATTAATTTTTCAACACCATTAGAAAAAAAATAATTTAAGTTTTTTTTGAAACACCCTAATATACAGGGTGTCCCACAATTAGTGCGACAAAATGAAGGTTTATTATCTAAAGACCCCCAGGAATTCCAGAAAATTGTTTAAAAAATTCTTTCTTCATTATTTAATAAGATACAGGGAAGTCATATTTTCTTTATAAGGCAACATTGCCTCATAACAATGTAATAGTTTAATTCCTAATCATCATGACAACAAACAACAATGTTAGAAAATGCCAAATTTAAATGTCAAAATTTGCTACTTTAAGTTATAGGTTATTTATTTTACGTCAGACTGGATAGAAAAAAATACAGGGAGTCCCTGTCTGACGTAAAATAAATAACCTATAACTTAAAGTAACAAATTCTTGTAATTGTGGGACACCCTGTATATACATATATACACTATTGGACAAAAGTAAAGCAACAACTGTATAAAAAATCCAACTCCAAAACGCCTTTATTATTCTTTAAGAAATTTTGGATAAAAATACTTGAACTTAAATCTCAGTTTACGTGTTTAAGGGTTTTTTGAGAAAATATTTTTAAAGCCCATTTTTTTAATATTAAAAAAACGTTCGAAAAATAACTTTTACGGAAATTTTTTTTCAAGTAAATAATAGTATATTAAAGTACAAGTTGCAGAAGGCCACATATTCTCGCACGAATTCGAAATTTGGCCTCGAGCGACGAAGGAGCGAGTGGACGAACGAATGAGTGCGAGAATAGCCTTCTGCAACGTGTGATTTATACTATTTTCTCGATTTTAACTTTTATTTAGGTTTTTTTAATTGTTTTGTGGTCGTTGTTAGTTAGGGGATTTTTCTCGCAAAATGTCAGTTGGCAACACAAAATGACAATATTTGTTATCCTGCACAAGTACAACCTGAACTGCACTTTTACACATTAAACTTAAAATTTTGCATTAAAATGCATTGTTGGAGCAAACTTTATATTACAAAACAATAATAAAGGCTTCATTTTCAATAAAAGTAATGAATTTGAGGTTATTAATCAGTTTAACATTTTGGGGGTACCAATACTTAAAAACTAAATGTTACCAAAAATCGTTTAAGAATGAGCTTCATTCTTCAACGATTTTGCGTGCGAGAATATGACATTCTTACATAAAAATCGAGAAAAAATATTCTGTTAATGACCGTATTTTTGTTAGTATACTCTAAAAATTTTGTACAAATCAAATGAACAGTAACGAAGATACAGCGCTTCAAAGTCGGTAAAAATGACCCTTTTTTGATTATTTTGCTGAAAAGTGGTCATTTTTGACGACTTTGAATCGCTGTATCTTCGTTACTGTTCATTTGATTTGTACAAAATTTTCAGGGTATACTAACAAAAATACGGTATTTAACAGTATATTTTTTATTTACTTGAAAAAAAATTCCGTAAAACATATTTTTCGAAGGTTTTTTTAATATTAAAAAAATGGGCTTTAAAAATATTTTTTAAAAAACCCGCAAACACGTAAACTGAGATTTAAGTTCAAGTATTTTTATCCAAAATTTCTTAAAGATTAATAAAGGCGTTTTGGGGTTAGATTTTTTATACAGTTGTTGCTTTACTTTTGTCCAATAGTGTATATATATATATATATATATATATTTAGATAAATACATTGGTTTACCTCGATTTCGGCCCTAAGCTGAGAAACCTCCAAATCGGAACTGGAACTAGGCAAATGGCCGTCCAGCTTCTTCTCCAAATCCTGCTTCTCGCTCCTAACCTCCTCCTGTGCCTGCTTGGCCACTTCGAGCTCCTTCTGCAGGTTCTCCAAGGCACGCTCCGCGTTCTGCAAGCTGTCCATGTCACGGTTCATGCGGTGCAAGTGTATCTTGAACTTTTTGTTTTGCTGGAAAGCGTAGTAGACGCCGAGGCCGCCCACGATGGTGAGGAAGATCAGAGTTAGGTCCTTCCAATGTGGAACTTCTGGGAAAATAAGTGTGTTGGGTTTTGATAAGATTTGTTGTGTATAAGTTGTAACAGTGCAGTGTTATGTTTATTTATAATACATTATTTAACAAAAATAAAATAAAAATCATGTAAAATTATAAAAAAAACTTATTTTAAGTTGGCCCTTAAAAGGTTTATAATCAAATATTTTTTTATGTTCAAGCGTTCAATATGTTAAACTTTATTATTGTCAACAATCTAAAGTGATTATTGCATAGGTAGGCTATAAAAATAAACCAATTGGGTAAAGTTTTTTACCTTTCAGTCTGTAGAAAACCGTTTGGACAAATCAAAAAATGTTACTACTGTCAGATCTCTCTAACCTCACTTTTTACTTTTAGTAATTATTATTATAATTGTACGTTTTTTGTATCCTTTAACAATTTCGGGCCTCCTCTACGCGCCGGCCTTTAAACATTGAGCTCAGCACAAAAAGACTGAAGCCCGCTGCACAATAACCCGGTAACGGGAACGGGAATCTTAACATTTAAGATGGGAACAACTAAAACGACTGTTGATAGATAGGGTTCGCTGAGTCTCTCCCACCTTTACCGTTTAGGTCCCCGTTCCCGGTACCGGGCAGTTGTGGAGCAGGCTTGACTTCTCAGCCTAATGACATAAATAACTATTAAAACAACTGAATTTATAAATTAAAAATAATAGTTATTTATTTCATAAGGCTAAGAAGTGAGTCTTGTGCTCAAAGTTTGAATGCCGACGCGTAGTGGTGGCCTACAATTGAGCGAAGCACAAAAAGACACTTCTCAGTCGCATGGCATACAACATTAAATATATACATATTTTTATAAAACCCAAAAAGCATGTGACATAATCATAACAAATTATTTAATTAAATACTTGAAAAAATTGTATATAAAACCCGGCGGTCAAAGCTAATTAATTGCCTCGCACACAATCTACTGCCTCGGCAGAGAAATGTATGCTCGGCGATAATTGTGCTTTCTCCGCCTGGTCCATAATGTACTACTTTCATTTATGTTCAAATGTTCAAATTATTTCAATTAAAATAAAACGAGATAAATGCCAAAGCTTTAATAAAAATATAACAATTTTACAAATTTAATTTGGAGTTTATAAAAATGTTTCAATAATAAATGTGTAAATAAAGTAGCTATGAGAAAATGTTAAAAAAAATTCTAGGTTAAGAAGTCTGCTTAAAAGACATTTACAAGTTTTAGAAAGATTGACCGTCTGGTTTCCGAGTAAAAAAATATTAAAGCTGCAAGACTACAAGGGATGTTATGTAGTATTGCTAAACTGTGTTGTGATTGTTGACAAAAATTTATATGCCAATTCTACAGGTATAAGTGCATGTATGCAATTTGTATAGTCATTTTAATTCAAAAAAATAACAATACATTCACAAAGGCTTTTGGCACCAATTGGTGCACTGCGCGTGGTATTATGGAAGGAACAAAGCCGCACCTAGTACAATCTATCGTTTTTTTAACAAAAAATTGTTTTAAAATAGCAGTTTTTTGCAAAGATAAACGTTTTAAAGATACACCACAAAAATACCATTGAAATAAAAAAAATAGTTTTTATGTACAATTTTTAAAAAAATCTGATTTTTTTAATACTTTGATGCTCGGTATGGGACAAAAGGTTTATCACCATATAAATAATAAAAAAATAGTTGTAAAGATAGCAGTTTTTTGCAAAGATAAAGGTTTTAAAGATACACTACAAAAATACCATTGAAATTTGTAAAAAAATAGTCTTATGTACAATTTTTTTAAAATCTGATTTTTTTAATACTTTAATGCTCGGTAGGGGGCAGAAGGTTTATCACCATATAAAAATTGCAAATAAAAATTATCTTTGCATTATAAATCTCCTAATATTGGGCGGTAATCCAAATCAAAATTTCAAAATTTTCATTTTTTTTCAAGTTTTTGAGCCCTGGTAGGGGGCAAAAGACGTCACAAAAACAAAAAACTTTTTGGCCCTATTCCAAATCCAATTTCTAGTTTTTTTTGTTTTCAGCCCACCCTTATATATATAAATTATTGTACGTTTGAAAAAAATGGGCGGAAAAGTGACAATTTTTTCAGGCTAAAAGAATAAATGTACAGGCGAGCTTTAGCAAGCGTGAAGTTTGGAGCTCTTTACCGCCGTGGTTTACATGATATTTTTCTTTCTACACAACATGAATGCAAAAAAATACTAAAAATGAGGAGCGTTTATTCAAAAAGGGACATGTCCATTTTAGCGATTTTCAGAAATAAGTCAAAAGCAAAAGAATTCTGTTATTTTTGACTTGTTTCTGCAAATCGCTAAAATGGACATGTCCTTTTTTGAATAAACGCTCCTCAAATGTGAAAAGCAAATTTTGACACTTAAAATGATTTAATATTGACGTGCATGTTATCTACAAAACAGACAGCCCTTAGCGGCACCCACACACAGTTAGATATATATCTGAAGACAAATAGTTTAATTGCGACGTAAGTTGTAATCTTAAAATATTCGTACATTGTAATGATAAAAAGCTAACTTTAAAAATAAACACAGAAGAGTTTCAATACTCGATAAAAAGTTCAAATGTCGCATTTTGAGAATATTTTAGAAAATAAATTTATTAAGTATACAATATTTTTGCAATTAAAATACGGGGTTTTATACAAAAAATTATTACTATATGCTTCTATCCAAAATTTTACAGGATCAACTTTGGAAGCCAACTTGGTCGCATTTGCCGATTTTCTAATGTCGCGCCCGTTACGCGATTCATGACGTTATAAAAGGTTTTCTATAAGTTTTTATTGAAATTTTGTTTGAGTGAAATATCTAATTTTTTATACTGTTTTTGTATATTAGCGTATCTTGATATACAGGGTGTCCCAGAACTCGCGTGCCGATAGCAATGGAGATGCCAAATTTTAAAATAAAAAAATTCTAGGTAATAGAGTTATTGAATGAGAGCAAAAAAGCGGCAGCCAATACCGAGAGCTCTCGCCTAGGTTAAACGTAGGGGTTTTAAAAGTTACTAGGGGACGATAGAACATTGTTGTCTTAAAAACATTTAAAAATCTTTTGGCCAACTGTATTTACTAAGTTGTCAAAGCTTATTAATCTATGACTAATACTTCAGAACGCCAATGTTAGTAACGATTGGGAAAGCGCTGGAGAAAAACTCGCGCTGTCTCCCTGGCGTTGCGCCCACACTCCCCATAAATAATTATCATTTCGGTATAAAATTAATGCATTTTTTTCTCGTATGCACTTATGCCTGTAGAAGTGCCATATAAATTTTAGTTAACTTTCACCGCACAGTTTTGCAATAATAAAAAATAATGTTGACTTTGTCCAACCAAAATTATCAATCTGTCATTCTAGTCTAGAATATCCTGCAACAATGGATTACGAACAAGTGATTATCTAGGGATATTTGGTTTAATATGTTTAGCGACTACCATAGTTTTTAAAGTAAACAATATCAGGGTTGCCACCGATTTGTCTAAACCAAATTCCCTGACTTTTCCAAAAATTCCCTGACCTCTGATTTTTTTCCAGACAAAATGTGTTTTCTTTTTGGATTCCCGACCCTCAATTAATTTTTTAACTGGACTTTGAGTGTTGATTTTTAAAATTTAAAGTATGGGGCCATTCAAGTATTACGTAAGCAGTAATTTTGTAATTTTTAACCCCCCCTTCCCTTTTTTAGCAAAAGTAAGTAAAGCTTATCATTAAAAATATACAAAAAAATCAAAGCAATCAAGCAAAAACCCCCCCTTTGGTGCTTATGTAATACTTGAATTTATTTTTCTCTTGGTGGAGAATTATAACGATAAATTAAAAAACTAAACTTTTATTGAAGTTTATAAAATTCAAAAACATTAACAAAAAATCAATACTTCTTATTAAAAAAAAAATTTCTGTAGCTAATATTTCGGGTTCAGGTTTTTGTTTCTTGGGGTTTTATTGCATTAATTTTCTGTTCAATCTGAAATTTGAGCACTTTAACTGGAACTTATATACAAATACATGTATTTTTTTTCCTTTTTGTAACTTTGACACTGCTAAAACATTTGTTATAAGCAATAAACTAAACTAAACTAAAATAATGAAATTTTTAAAAATGCCTCTGACATTTTGTCTGCGGCAGGTCTTGTTTATAAAGTTGATGAGTTCTTATCAGTAAATATTTGATAGTACAAAAAAAGATTTTATTTCTTTTATCATTTTTTGCAGGAGTTTTTATTGAAGAAATTGATTTATTCTGGTTATTTTCTAAAGCAATATTATTATTAATATTATTATCCTGTAAAACTGTAACTTTTTCAAGCATACTCTCTAAAAAAGAATTAGTCAAAAATGACATATTTCATAAAATATGTCATTTTTGAATTCTTTTTTAGAGAGTGAAAAAGCATGCTTTTTCACTTTGAAATATGTAATTTTTGACTAATTCACTGCAGTCACTAATAAATGTAGTCGACAGCAATTTGTATCCAAGACATTTAACAGCCAATTTTCATGTAAAATTGTCCCCTGAATCCGAAAAGACCGTCATAGCAGTTTTTGAGATATAGTCAATTCCATATTATATGGAAAATTGAATAAATCTTAAAAACTGTCCTACTTTTATAACTTTTGACGACATATTCGGATTCAGCAGACAATTTTACATAGGAATTGACTGCAAAATATCCGGGATACAAATTGCTGTTGAGTAGAATTATTAGTGGCTGCTTTTTCGCTATGACAATTAGTCATTTTTAACTGATTCATTTTTAGAGAGTAGTATTTTTTTATTTATTTTCCATCTGGTTCTTTTTTTTGACAAATTTGTGTTCTTCGTTGCCGAAATCCTTTTTTAATGGCCCGCACTTTTTATGTGGCCTATGACTGCTTGCAAATCAAACATTTGGCTTGAAACGATTTTTTATCAACAGGAACTATGATTTTTCAAAGTCTTTTACTGATTAATTAATTTAATTATTAATTATGCTTTCACTGATTAATTAATTAGTTTATTAATTATGCTTATCATTTATAAAATAAACAAATATTAATCACCCTAAACATAAAAATAGTTAGTTATAGTTTTAGAAGGTTATTGTGATAAGTCGTGATATAGACTTCTAAGGTTATAGTGATAAGTTTGACATATAGCGCTGCCATATTTTGAATAAATTAAATTTAAATTACACTCGTTTCAATGTTTTTACATAACTTAAAATAACACGCTGTCATCATACCAACATTTTTGGAACACCCTGTATATTAAAAGATTTTAATTTGGAGAAAACTATTGAATTGATTATAATCAATAATTATTAGGTATCCTACAAGATATACAGGATATTATTTAAATTGTAGGGCGAAGAACTGCATTTTAAAGGGTGAATTTTTTGTTTCACCGAAATATCTTAAGACGGATTAGGAACCAGAGCCTGGCTAAATTACTTTGGGACACCCTGTATTAATAGTCATCAATTGCTAACAATTTTTTGTGTAATATTTTATGTTACAATATACGAATCCAAAATCTACAGTAAAAATAAGACCACTAAACACATATTACCATATGTTTGTTTGGAAATTACTTAAAACAAAATTTAGAAAAAATCCCGAAATATTGTTCAGAACTTACCGTCGTGGAATAAAACTGAGAACATGGTAAAAAAGTCATCTTAAAAAAAACGTACATTTTGGAAAAATTAACGCCAACCAAATCGGACAATAATTAGACGTAAATGTAAACAAATTCCTTTTTTAAAAATATAGACCAAACATATCACACATTCGACATACTGAAAACATTGAGATAATTAATAACAGAGATGCGAAATCTAATAACAATGTTACGGTAGGTGATTTCGAGGTATATCAACAAACGAAATAAAAGTTATATCATTTATTATTAACGATAATGAAATAGTCGTATAAACGATAGATAAAATCATAATTCGCAAAATAATGTTTCCTGTAAATTATATTCTTTAAAAAAATACCACAAATTTTAATTTTTTTATTATTTTCTGTAATATGCAGCACTAGAAGAAGATCTCTAGAAAATAACGTTTTTTATCTTTATTCTGATTCTATGACGATGGTTGCCCAAGATACATACACCTTAGACATACCCATGCTGGATTCAGAAAGATACAAACCACCTTATGATGGTGACCTCTATGACCACACTATAGGAGTGCGTTCGAAATGAGAGTGTACTTTGGATATAGTATACTAGTATAAGGATAGGTGTATAATCACGTAACTTTACATTATACCTGACCTCCTTGTTATTTTCGAACGCAGCGGAGCATATACCCATGTTGAAGTGTTCTAAAACCAATTGGTTTTGCTTGTTATTTGACTGAATGCATATAAATATTAAATTATTGTATTTCAACTCTTTAGTTATATGGTTTATTCAAGTTTTTGTGATAATTTTGTTTTGTTTTTTTGATATTTTTTAAATAATTTATTTTAAATAAATTCTTTTATTTAACTGTTTTTGGTTTTTTTTATTAAATTTTAAACATATATTAATAAATTATATGAAGGACAGTTGACACTTGTATATATCTAGGTTAGGGTGGCCCAAAAAAAAAGAATATCTTTTTTTTTCTCGTCTCTTGTAAAAATATGTTAGTTTATCATGCTGTAAGAGCCCTGTCAAAATATCAGCTCGATTAAAAAATTTTTAGGGGTGGCTCAAGATTTTGAAAAATTTCCAAAATCGTCAAAAATTGGATTTTTTTTTATTTTAATTTTTTTTCTCGTTCCGATATTATTTTTTAATTTAAAAATAATAATGATTCTGAAAATTTCAAATGGATATTTTGATTTCTAAAGGTCGCTCAAGATTTTTTTAACCTTCAAAGTAGAGTATTTTGAATGTTTTCGAGCGACCTCTGAATGGAAATTAAAATATTGATTTGATATTTTCCAAATTTTTATTATTTTCCACCAAAAAAATAATATCGAGACAAGAAAAAAAATTAAAATAAAACAAAAATTCAATTTTTGACGATTTTGAAAATTTTAAAAAATCTTGAGCGACCCCTAAAAATTTTTTAATCGAGCTGATATTTTGACAGGGCTCTTACAGCATGATAAACTAACATATTTTTAGAAGAGACGAGAAAAAAAAGATATTCTTTTTTTTGGGCCACCCTAATCTAGGTATATACCAGAGAAATCAAAGGCGCTAGGTTAACTTCGAGTGTATCTAGAGTGCACTCTTGCAAGTTTTCGAACGCGCTCTAGACCTATAAACTTTATAATATAAAGCGATGACAGTATACTGGCTATAGCCGCGCTCTTGACTGGTGGAAAATTTAAAATACTTTTGTTTGATTGGCTAACTAGCGGCACAGATATAATGTTGCTGCCAGTCAGCAAATCAAATAAAATATTTTAAAATTTCCCGACATTCGAGCTTGATCCGGATCGATACAAAATATCGTACACTGCCATGGATCGGAACATCCATAAATCGAATACACTTGTGTGTATCCGATCCATTACTAATATTTAGATAGTTCAGTGCGATATTATTTAAAAATTTTAGAGGTGAAACTCGCCACCGTGAAAGGATTGAGTAATACATCATTTTGAAAGTATCCCGACCCTTATTATATCCAAGTTTGAATTTGGTCTTGTGATTAATTATAAACTAAAAACCGACACATTTTGACAAGCTGGATGATATATCAGGTATACCTGCAACTTCAAATTTGAGCTGCCTTATTAATAAGCTATTTAATAATATATTTTTAGACTAACAACCTAATAAGTTTAAAATAAAAACAATGTGCAGCATAATAAACCATGGACAAGTTAGCCCTTGGGCATATATCTTACACCATTGCAATATTTGTTTTCATATCTTATAATATACGCAGACGCTCTAAAACTTTCATATTCTGCATGCTAAAATAGTTTTTAACGTATTATTATTATAATTTTGTTTTGGCCATATAAAACTATAAAAAAATATTTATAAAAACTAGCCATGAAAGCCTTCATCATTTTTTTCAGTTTTTAAAGATGTTCAAAAGTAACAAAGCTAATATAATTCTCAATTTGTATAAAAAAATATATATATAAAGTGTTATAGGTTTGTATATTTTGTGGTATATACCTTTTTTTAATTGACTTACCTTTAGGGGGTCCAAATAGAACGACATCCATAGCCTTGAGCGAAATTTTCTGCTTGTGTATGGGATCCTTTATCCCGATCCCGCTCAAATAGTGATCATTATTGGCTGCCAACCTAAAAAAATAAAAGAATAATAATAATTTTTGCTTCATAAAAAACTTTGAAATATACATATAGTTTAAATTGGAATTTTAATAAAACAAAAGTTGAAATGTGTTAAGGGGTTAGATGTAGTCTGGTTTTTATAGGAAATTAAATATTAATTAAAATAATATATTTTTTGTAACAATTCATAAACATATAGAAAGTGCTTCAAAAGTAATGAGATACAGAGCAACAGCAGACTATTTAAGTCGAAACAATCCGATTAAATTACATTACACAATTACTCAGGGTGTCAAAGTCAACACTGTATTCGTTTAAATGGTCACATATTTTTTGCGCCTTACTGTATTCACGTTTTTATAAAATCATCTTTATTACGCAAAAAAAGGTACACCTTGTATATGTACACCTCTCGCTCAGAGTAACCGTTTTTGAGATATCTGTTTAAATTTATTGTGAATAATTTGATCTTAAAATAAATGTTTTTAAAAAAATACTTAATAACACAAAGTCAGACAGAAACTAAATTTGTAGAGTATCTTATTGTATTTTTACTTTACATTTTTAAATCACAAATAAATGGATGAATTAAACCGCAGCGGCATTTAAAAAGTTCAACTTTTTTACGTTACAAAGATGTGACCCTTTAAACTTATGCTAAGTGTGGCAGCGCAGTCTACAACCTAAATTTTTTTTTAAATATTTAATTTTTCCGTCCTAAAAACCCCAAATTTTAAATTTTGCGTAAAAACGTTTTTTCCAAAGGTATTTAATAATAACTTAACCATCCTGTATCTTGGTTGTTATCAACTTTTGGATAAGGCAAATTTTAATAAATTTGCTAGTGCTTTGTATTCCAATAGGGCAGCCCCATTACTTTTGGACCACCATAAATATAAGGGTGGTCCAAAAAAGTATATTTTTCCCCACAAGTTTTTTTTATTCCAAAATAACCAAATACACTTTTTTTATTCGGATAAACTTTAGAGCTTGCCCATGATTAAACGTATAATATAACAAAACTAGAAACCCACTGTGAATAAAATAAAGTTTAAATTTTGGTCAGCGTGGTCACAAACAGGGTGGGACTTTTTTAGCGCGTATTACAGTCTGCAATTCTACGCGCATAGCGAGTCGCTATTAGCGACGTTTTGAGCAAATTTATTGCCGTTTCAAAATATATATATTTATAGGTCCTGCCGGATTTGTATTGCGTGCAGCTTGCAGTGTTTCCAACTTCCCTAGCCCGATAATACTACAACATGCTTTAAAATAATAGTACACGAGCTTAAATAAATAGTTCATTTTTTAGGCTTGTAACCTTTTTTGTCGTGCTGTTCGTAGACACTCCAACTAGCTGACTGTGTAGATTAGTGTAACAATATTTCAATAGTCAAAAATGCATTTTAATAGGATTAGTTAAAAATGCAATAAAGTACACAATTAAAACAAGGATTCCACATTTTTAATAGATTTTATATTTAAATAAACCAAAACATAACTGTGATAAAATTAATATAATTTTTTTAAGGAAACCTTTTTCTATTCAAACATATAACAGAACAAGCCATCAAACAATGTTCAAACGACGGTCAATCTTAAACGTCAGTCTTTTTTTTAAACTTTTATAGTTTTTTTCTTTTGCTAACACCAGGACTTTCTAAAAGTTATAAATTAATTTAATTGGTTTAAGCGCAAAAAAGTATGCGTGTAGTCCACCTGGATTAAACCACAGAGTGCTCTACCTGTGAAAAAGGGTGCAAGTGAGGTAATTAAATACAACCAGAAACTTTCCTGGATTACTAACACAGAACCAACGCGTCCCAATAGTGGGAGGTCGAGGTCAAGGAACAACTTTACCGAGCCTCGTAGGGTCAAGCACCTGAATTTGGATTCCCCAAATAAACATTCGACAAAACCAATAAATAAACGTTAACCCACCCTCATAAATCTCAATAAAGCCAAACCAAACATGGAAATCGTAAACGTCTTAGACCACTTAGTAGGTAAAATACCACCCTAAATTTTAATACGAAATTCGCAACCTCAACTTACAAAGAACTCCACCAGGTAAAAATTAATTAGTCGCCCACAGTTCCCATAAGAACAGCAAGCCTAGCCAAAAAACTCATAAACAAGAGCTCACTTAAGCAGTCATTAATCACTCAAGTTCAGATAAACACTAGGCAAAAGAAACTCATCCGCACAGCGGGATGCAACGTTATCGATAGTCAGCAAGTTCGGAATCCGATTTGGACAGAGACACGGACACTGAGGAACCGGAATTACTTCAAAACCAGCAACTTCTAGCAGCGTATTAACCAATCAAGCCCCATTCATGAACCCCAATTGAATGGGGTCATTACTAAATCCCTGGTTGAGGGGGACTCCAGATTGGACTTAGTTTTGGGTCATTTTATATATTTTTATTTATATATATTTATGTAAGGCGTTGCTGATGGGGCCAGCCATACGTTCCTTATACCCATACTCATTGTGTAAAAATTAACAAATCTTAATAGTTAACAGAAAAAAAATTTATCAAATGGATACAATTAAATTTACGTATGTAAATTTATTCGAGTATAGTTGTACTGCGATGCTCACAGCGAGCTTGGTATAAACCGTACAGCTTTAAGCAGTCTGCGATTGCAATTGTTTTACGGCGCATGTCCGCCTCGACACGTCCAAATATTTTCTGCTAACGTTTTCGCTTCGTCTTATCTGGTCCACTTTAAAATTTATTTTGCCTATGTATAGCTTGTAAGTGAAGGATCGGTATATTGTTTTACCTGGGTAAATTAGCACCGGTAACCTTATGCTTGATGAAGTTAGGAACATATTGGGGAAGTTCGACGCAGGTGGTAAGCCAATCGGTGGTCTGCTGGATGGTCCAGTTGTGGACGTCAGACTTGAGCCACGCCTCCCACAACTCCTTTACCGATATTTGCATGTCGTTCTTGTGGAAAACCTTCTGCCTCTTCTCGTAGCCCGAATCGTATTTCAACTCTTCACGTAAAAACTAAAAAAAGAAAAAAACATTAGGTAATTAATTTTATCTACGATCACTATTTAAACCAAATTTTTAGAGATGGGAATCGGAAAGTTTCCATTTTAAGGAAACTTTCCGTTTTGGAAAGTTTTCAATTGGGAATTTATTTTTATTTTGAAAGTTTCTTTTAAGCTACCGGAAACATTCCTTGGAAACATTCCTTGGAAACTTTCCTTGTTTTTTTCATTTAAATGTCAATTGTTTAACCGCTGATTTTCTTTAAGGCCATGATACAAGGCCAAGAAACTTTGAATAAGAATTTAATGTGTGTTAATTTAAGGCAGAAGAAGAAGTATAAATAATGTAAGTTATGTTACATAACCTCAATGAAGCCGGATTATTCAGCTTCATCACAAAATACCCCGGGCAAAAAATAAATATTTTCACAAAAAAATTTTTTTTTTAAACTTTCGGAAAATTTCGGAAATTTTCGATGGAAAGTTTCCGGGAATTTTCGTCAAATGGGAATTTTCCCATCTCTACAAATTTTGGCAATCTAAGTAAACGTCACTTTATACATGGTGTGTGTAAAATTGGTCGGAGTTTACCAGAATTTTTTTTTTCGAGCGATCAAAAAGATTTGAGGTTTTCTATATTATGTTTGAATATGTGTATGTTTCTGTAGGACTTCACATTCCGGAAAGAAGCAGTCATATAAATTTTCTTGGTAAAAACATTTAAAATTTATCTCAATTTAGCTCATTAATAATGAGTCATTATCATCAGCCCCTTATCATCAAAATTGGATTTTACCCCAGTGGAGAAATGTATTATTTTCTGATAAAGCTAATTCTCCAGATATAAATATAGACTCGCCGTCAAAAAAATGACGAAAATTGTATATAAATTTACCTTTATTAAAAAAATCTATTTGTAGAAGCTATGACGTCATCGGCTGTTTTTTTTAAATTGTACCCCCTCTTATTTTTGCAGATTCGAATAGATTATGAAATTCTGAATTTAGCAATATACCTTTGGGGATTATAGTTTTTGGTATTATTAAATTAAAAAGTTCGTGATTTAAATTTAAAATTAAAACATTTATTATAATTTAAAACATTTTATATCTTCATTAACCAATTAAATGTTCAAATTGCTCCCCGTTGGTTTCTTGACAATAAGCAAGCCTATCCAAAAATTCTCTGAGAACCTTTTGGATGACTTCCGCACTAATAAAGCAACATTCTTCACGAATTTGATTTTTCAAGTCTTCTAAATTTCGTGGTCTGTTGATGTAGACCTTTCATTTAAGGTAGCTCCATAAGAAATAATCGAGAGGGAGAGTGAGATCTGGAGATATCGCTGGCCACTCTATCGGCCCTCGTCTTCCAATCCACCTCTCAGGAAAACATGTGTCTAGATAAGTACGGACAGGACGCGCATAGTGTAGAGGTGCCCCGTCCTGTTGTAACCAAATGGTATCACTTGGTAGATCGGGACCTCCATTTTCATTGGGAAACATTTCTGCTCCAGTACCTACAATTTTGCTAATTATATGCTAACAAAGAAATATAATACTCAAAAAGTTTGACCACGGAATTAAATATTATAATATAAATATAAAAAATATAAATATAATATATAAATCATCAAAACATTAAAAAATATACATTTTCCACTTTTAATAATTAATATATCCTTATAAGCCCAAAAGGTATAAATGTGCATATTGCTGGAATCAAACTTTCATCTATTCGAATCCCCAAAAAAAAGAGGGGGATAGAATTTTAAAAAATGGCCGATTACGTCAGAGATTCTACAAAAATGGCGGGAAATATGAAAATTGTACATCAAAATGTTCGTAAATCAAGGATTCTTTTGAGAAAAAAAAGCCGATTTTTCTAAGGAATTTGTTCCATACATTTGCCGTATATACCACTGTAATAATATAGGTACCTACTAATGTATCTTTGTGAGTTCGGTTATATTAAACAGACTCCGCCATAGCAATGTTACTGTATGCCAAAATATTCGAATATATAGAATAAGGGAAGTCTATATTACTACTTTTCTTTTTTTTTCAACGTATATATAATTGTAATTTGTAGACTAAATGACTTCCAGTTCAGACAGGGTGTCCCAGTTATGTTGGAAGGTAATTGAGAGCAGTTAAAAGGGATTTGTTGTGTGCTATTAAGGTTGTTTCATCGGCGCAAGAAGACTAAATACAAGAGTACCTTGTTGGGTGGGGGCAAGACAAAAAACGTGCGCACTTACTCAGTAGTAACCTATGGTTGCGCAAAATGTTAGTGCGCACACCCTGTGACTGTGAGCAGTGTGTCCATTTGGGAAACGGCTGGCTGGCTAGAGCAATAATTAATACAGGGTGGGCCAATGGAAAGTTTCCACCCCGATTTTCTCAGGTGTTACGAAAAAAAATAAAAAACGCTCGCACCCGTCGATTTCTGATTTAAGGGGGACAATTTATTTTTATTTTTTTAACCCCTTAACTTCAACCCCTAAGCGTGGGTGATAGTTACCCCCAAAATTTAAATAGGAAAGGGGGGTCGAATGATACTTCATTTTGAAGGTATTTTTGCCCTGATTATACCCTCCAAGTTTGAACTCGCTGCTAGCATCCCCGTTGATATAACAGCTTGTTAAAATCTTGGAAATAGATCACGTTTTATTATAAGTAAAAACAATACTTACCTTCCTTAATAAAAATATCTACTAATTAAAGTTTTATTATTATTAATAAAAAGTTATTTACATGATATTTATTTAATAAACTGTTCAAAATGTCCTCCATTAACATTCATGCAATAATAAAATCGATTCTCTACCTCTTCTCTAACATTCTGCAACATATCGGTAGTTATCCTTTGACACTCTTTAGTTATTCGTTCTTGTAGAACTTGAAGAGAAGCTGGCTGTGTTTTATAAATTTTAGACTTCAAATGGCCCCATAGAAAGAAGTCCAGAGGTGAAAGATCAGGGGACCTTGCAGGCCACTCAATAGGTCCTCTTCGGCCAATCCAATGGTCTCTAAAATTTTCATTTAGAAATTGCTGAACGGGTGCTGCATAATGCGGTGGGGCTCCATCTTGTTGAAAAAACATTTCATTTTGCGACAAATTATTATCTTCAGCAATAACTTCCCTTATTCTAGGAACAATATTTTCTTCAAGTAAAGTCAGATACATAGCCTCAGTGAAATTGCCTTGTAAAAAGAATAGTCCAATTATGTTATTGCCTAGAATACCTGCCCAGACATTTAACTTTTCAGGATTTTGAGTATAAGACTCTCTAAATAAATGTGGATTTGAATCGCTCCAGTATCGACAATTATGTCGATTGACTAAACCATGTAAAAAAAGGAGCATTCATCTGAAAAGCAGACATTATAAAGAAAATTTAGATTGCCAACACACCGTTCACTCATTTCTTCTACAAATTGTAATCGTCGATCATAATCATCCTCATTAAGTTCGTGAAGCAATTGTATCTTGTAGGGGTAAAATTTGTGAACCTTCAAAATTCTCCTTACGCTTGTTCGTGATATGCCGGAAACTTCGGACAATAATTGCCTAGTACTGAAGGTGTTATCCATTGCAATGTGCCCTATGACTACGATTTGCATACCTTCATTCCTAACGACACGAATCGGATTATCTTTTTTGTTCTCCACTGTTCCAGTTTCCAAAAACTTTACCATCAGTTTCCTAATATAAGTATGAGAGACATTTTTGTCCTGATGTCTTACATTAAATAGTCGTGCTGTTTGTCTTGCACAGTCATTGTTTTTGAAATAAGTATAAACTAATTCAACTCGCTCGGCTATAGTGTATACCATAATTAAATTTAGTTATAAGCTCTCGAACTAACGATAATAATCTTAATGATGATTGTGCGACAATATTGTGTAAATAAAGTTTACAAAAAACACATTTTTTTCTTCAAACGTAAAAAAATTGATGTTTTGCTAATATTTACTTCATTCCTTCAGCATACCTACAGACCGTCTCAAAAGTATCGCTTTTACTCTTACTAAAATAATAGCCAATTTTCAAGATTTTAACAAGCTCTCATATTAATGGGGATGATAGCAGCGAGTTTAAACTTGGAGGGTATAATCAGGGCAAAAATACCTTCAAAAAGAAGTATCACTCGACCCCCTTTTCCTATTCAAATTTTGGGGGTAACTTTCACCCACGCTCAGGGGTTGAAGTTAAGGGGTTGAAAATATAAAAACAAATTGTCCCCCTCAAATCAGAAATCGACGGGTGCGAGCGTTTTTTATTTTTTTTCGTAACACCTGAGAAAACCGGGTGGAAACTTTCCATTGGCCCACCCTGTATATTCAATGTTTCAATTTGTTATGTAACCACAGATTGTTATTTTAATACAACTTAACAATAATTTAGGATTTAATTCAATTGACCATTTCATTTACCATTTGAATTTAAATAAGTTACAAATTTTGATATATCATGTATCATGCGCAAAACTATTACGAGACTTCCTGTAAAAGAAAAAAATGTTATTCTTAATAAAATTAAATGTTATAAATATGTTTGTCCGTGAGCCCTCAGTAGCATTTTATAAAATGCCCCAGTATAAAAGTAGTTTTCCATGAACTAGAGCAACCCAGAGAACCAAGGTTTTGGAAAGAAATTAGTCAACTTTTTTCCCAACCAAGTTTGGTGTACGATATTTTACATTAATTGGGTATTGTTTGGAAATATGATCAGTCATTGTCATGTGTTTTTCCACGTTTTCCGTTAAGTTTTTTCTGAAATTATTGTGTTTTAACAACTATTTCAAGAAATAAGCCACGCACTGAAGTTTTAGACTTTTTTCGTAAAGTTTTTGCTGCCCTTGGTGGCCAGCAATAATTAGGTTAAAATTTATTTAATATTTACAAGGTATAAGCCACGTCGCCGACGGTGGACTAGTGGTTAGTGCTGCTGACTACAAGCCGGAGGTCGTGGGTTCGAATCCCACCAGGGGTATGGCTGTTTATTTGT